AATATGCTAATTACACTCATTGAGTGTGCAAGGTCTGGACGACAACAAATCATAGTATACATTAAGCAGCCAACAAGATTTGCATAAGGGATCTCTTCAATTTCTGTATCTATAGTTGGAGATTGAGATGCAGAAAGTTTAAAGTGCTCTGCTAGAGGAGTTTTCATCGTCTTTGAACTTTCCATTCGAAAACGTTTAAGGACCTTTGTCATGTAATCAAGCTGAGAAATGGTTAAAGAATTTTGAGATCGGTTTCTATTTATTTCCATTCCCAAGATCTTTTTAACTTCTCCCAAATCTTTCGTGTCAAACTCTTTTCTAGTTGTGCTTTTAGTTTGTTTATTTCAACCTTACTATTTGAAGCAATCAAGATATCGTCCACATACAGTAGAAGCCAAATAGAGACTTCAGAATTTGTCGTTTTCTTATACACGCAACAGTCAAATGAATTTTTAATGAAGCCTCTTGAGGTGATAAATGTGTCAAATCGCTTATTCCACTGTCTTGGTGACTGTTTAAGTCCGTAAATGGACCTTTGAAGGTGACAAACAAGTTTCCCTTTACCAGATTCAATATATCCAGGAGGTTGCTTCATCTATATGTCTTCATCAACACTGCCATAGAGGAAAGCAGTCGTTACTTCCATTTGTTCTAATTCCAGCTCAAATTGAACAACCATCGACAAAAGGATTATGATGGATGTATATCTAACAACAGGAGAAAAAATCTCAATATAATCAACACCCTCTTCTTGGGTAAAGCCTCTAGCAACCAACCTAGCTTTATATCTAGGTTGTTGAACCCTCTAATACCAAGCTTCATCTTATACAACCATTTACAATCTACAAGTTTCTTATTTTCTGGTTTCTGTACTAATGTCCATGTACTATTTTTGTGGAGAGAATCAATTTCCTGTTCCATTACCTTGATCCACTCATTTGAGTCCACATAGCTCATGGCCTCTTTAAATGAGTTTGGTTCATGATGTTCAAATTCTTCAAAACAATTCAAGGTATATCCAACAAAATCTGCTTGTTCATAACGTGCTGGAGGTCTGATTACCCTTCTTTTTCTGTCTCTAGTCAGCTGGTACCCTTATAAATCATCATCAGTGGTTGGTTGCTCTGTAACTGATTCCACACCCTCTTGAACCATTTCCTCTTGATCAGGAGGAGAATCTTCATTAATTTCTACTGATCAAGGTGTATTTATATTAGAATCAGGTCCATTTTTGGTGTCATTCTCAGGAGTTTGAAGTTCAATTTCAAAATTTTCATGTTGAGGTAGATCAGATTTGGTAGTAATTTCTTTCCAAGGCATGGAATCTTCATCAAATGTAACATCTATATTTATAATGCATTTATTTTCCCCTGATTCTAATGACCAAAGTTTATAACCTTTTACTCCATCTGGGTAGCCAAGAAAAATACATTTCTTGGCTCTAGGCTCCAATGTTCCCTGTTTCAAGTGTGCAAAAGCTAGACAACCAAATGTTTTCATGTGATCTAGTTTAGGTGGCTTACCAGTCCAAAGCTCTTGGGGTGTTTTGAAACTCAATGCTGTTGATGGACTCCTATTAATGATGTAAGTAGCAGTATTCACAGCTTCACCCCAAAACGTTTTAGGTAACCCAAAGTTTGACAGCATACATCTAACCTTATTCAAAATTGTTCTATTGAAACGTTCTGCAATTCCATTCTATTGTGGAGTCCCGGGTACGGTTAGGTGCCTTCCTATGCCATAAGCCTTACAAAGGCTATTTAAGTTTTCATTTAGAAATTCCAATCCATTATCCGTTCTTAGCCTCTTAATCCTTTTTCCAGTTTGAGTTTCAACTAGGTTCTTCCATTCAACAAATTTTTCATAAACTTCATCTTTAGTTCTAAGCATAAACACCCATAATTTTCTAGTGAAATCGTCAATAAGAGTGAGAAAGTACCTAGCACCACCGTGACTTCTGACTTTTGCTGGCCCTCAAAGATCAAAATGGATGTAATCAAGMTTTTCATATATTTTCATGGTTGCTGAAGAAAAACTCTGCCTGACAGCTTTTCCCAWCACATGGTGCTCACAGAGAGGTAGTTCCATAGGTTTGTTTATATGCCAATCATACCTTGCTTAAACAAACTTTCTAACCCTTGCTGACTTATATCACCCAATCTCTTGTGCCATGTTAGAGTACTTTGAAGTAATTTGTCTGAAACAGCATTTACCTTACCTGACACAGCATTTCCCTACAATACATTTAATCCATTTTTTAAAGTTCCTCTAAATTTGATAGATGATTCCTTATAAACTAGTAAAGAACCATGTTCTGATCTGTAGCTCAAGCCTGCTTTATCCAATGAACCAAGAGAAATCAGATTACGTTTCAACCCAGATACGAATCGTACAGCTGAAAGAACCTTACAATTGCCATCATCAAGTTTAAACATAACAGAGCCCGTCCCTTTGATTTCACATTCATTATTATTACCCGTCACTACCTTACCTCCATCAAATTCATGTAATTCTGTGAAGTAGTGCCTATTGGGAGTCATATGGAAGGTACATCCGAAATCCATAATCCATTCATTTGAATAATTTGAGCCCCCCACCATGAGAACTTCAGCTAATTCATAGCCTTCAAGGACATTTGCAGACACTTTATGATCCTTTCTAACCGGTAATTTTCCTTTCTTTTTCAAGAGGGGACAATCATACTTAAGGTGACCCTCCTTGTGACAATAATTGCAAGTCACCTTGGAGCCTTCTTTATGATGTCCCTTTTGATTGAACTTATCATATTGTTTCTGATGCTTATGATGATAGTTTTTAGTCTTCTTATTTCTCATAAAGAGGGCTTCTGAGTCCTTTTTCTATGCAATAATCTCTAATTCTTTTGAACGAAGAGAATCCAACACAATATCTAAAGTGAAGGAATCTATACCATACTTAATTGCTGCTTTAACCTCTTTGTATTTCTCTAGAAGTGAATTTAGAATGATCACAGCTTGGTTTTCAGCACTTAATGTTTCACCAGCATTAATCAATTTCATACAAACTTTATTGAATTCATCTAGATTTTCCTCAAGCCCCTTGGAAGAATCCATCTTGTAACTGAACAATCTTTCTTTGAGGTATATCTTGTTGGTGAGTGATCTGGACATATAAAGTTTTTCAAGTTTGGTCCAGAGTTCAGAAACATTTTTTGAATCACTCACACGCCTCAAAACATTGTCAGCAAGATATAAAATCACAATACTATGTGTAATTTCTAACATATCAGGTTTTTGTTCTTCAATCATGGATGAGGGCCACTTACTTGGATCGTCCAGAGCTTTTCCCACTTTCTGTTGTATCAGAAGTGCCCGCATTTTTGTTCGCCACAAACAAAAATCACCTCTGTCGTCAAATTTGTCAATTTCTATTATTGCCGACATAATGCAAGAAAGGGAAGAAAAATTGAGAATACCCAAGAGAGTAGCAAGGCAGAGATTCTTCAATCAAGAATCAAACGAAAGATTATCAAAGAGATGGTTTCAATAGGAGTGAACAGAATAAGAGAAGATTTTACAAAACACAAAGATCAAAGATCTTCGAACTAGGATCCTCCTTTCTCGACCAACTCTGATACCAATTTGTAGTGATAACCAAAAACAAATACTAACAAATTGAAGAAAGAACAAGCTCAGAGAGAGATTGAAGGAGAAGAAGAAACTCGGAATTATAGTGGTTCGACCGAAGTCTACCTCCACTTTCGAATCAGAGAGAGAAGTTCTATTATCAGCTTGAAAGTTTAAGAACCCAAATTACAGAGAATTCACATACCCTCCTCACTTAAAAGTCCCGTGGGACAAAACAGTAAAGTACCCAAAATGGTTACAACTGTTGAACTCAACTAATAACAATTTTAACAGCTAAACAACTGAGCCTTGGGCCGTGAGGGAAGTACTGGAGCCACGCGAGTCATTAACAAAAAAAGGTCAACATGTAGCAAAATTATTGAGAGATTAGATATGGTGCAAATATTATTGGTATGACTTTGAAACGTAAGTTTTCTAATTTGAGAGATCAATGGGAAAATTTGACATATCGTGAAACATAGTGACTTGCAAAATAGGAATTTTTTTTTTCTTCTGGAAAAAATCTAAAAGTTATTGAATATTTTTAAAAAGAGAAGTAGAGAAAGTTATTTGGATCTTATGGTAATTTTCTTGGATATCACAACGGCTTTATTTTTTCTTGTTCGAGTTAACAATTACAAGATGAATACCAAACTTTCCATTTTTGGAATGTTAATAAGAGCCTTTTTAATTAGCAATATGATAATAACTTATTATGTGTCTGTGTAATAGATAATTTAAATATATTTAAATTGACGATATGACAATAACTTATTATGCGTATGTTGTGCCTCCATTAAGTTAGCGACAACTTCACAAGTAATTCTAAGAAGAATTTAAAATTGAGAAGGATTCTCTCTTCTATGTGAAGATTGAGTTTTTCCAATGGAGTTAGAGAAAAAAGTGGGGAGGAGAGTGGCCTCTCTTTATCCTCCCATGAAGGGTGTGCGTTTTCTCTCATTCTTCCGACTGAGTTTTTTTTAGAGATCGTTCCTCTCTACTTTGTTCCAGTAGCATTCCTCTCTACTTTGTTCCAATTCTTCCATGGTTTGTTTCATGAAATAGTATGGATCAAGATATAACAGAGATCTCTCTTGTTGATGTGGAGTTAATTTCTAGAGAGGATCCTTCTTTCCCACTAGTCTCTGTGATGGCGAATGGTGGTCAGTTGCGGGAAAATCTCCCCGTTGGATGTCTATAGTGTTGTTGTGACTGAAAAAATTAAATGCAACATTGTTATGTATTATTAGACTTTTAGTTTATTATTTCTGTTAGTTAGTTTTATCAAATTCCTTATTTTTCTAATTTGTTATGATTCTGCTTCTGGATGTGTATATATCTTTATACTCTCTCAGAATGTTAATATACAGCAGAGTATTCCTCCCATATTTTACTTCTAATATGGCATCGGAAGAATAACTCTCTCTCTTCCGCTGTCATCTTCGCAATATGCCATTTTTGCCGACTGATCCATCACTTCCATCCGATACTGATCCTTCTCTTCCGACTGCTCCACCACTTCCATCTTATTCTTCCTCAACCGATTTACTGAAATCTGCTTCAGATTCTTCTTCTTAGAGTCCATACTATCTCCATCACAATGATACTTTCAACTTAGTTCTTGTGACAGGATTGCTCACCAACGACAACTATGTTTCTTGGAGTCGTTTGATGATTATTGCGCTTTCCATTAATAATAAGCTTGGATTTACCAATGGATCTTTATCGAAGCCTACTGGTACTCTTATTGCTTCTTGGACTCGTAATAATTGTGTTTTAATTACCTGTATTTTGAACTTTGTTTCAAAATCAATTTCTGCTAGCCTCATCTTCTCCGATTCGGCACACGCTATTTGGCTTGATCTGAAGGAGGGATTTCAGCGTAAGAATGGCCCTAGAATTTTTAAACTTAAGCAAGATTTGGCAACGATAACGCAAGATCAACAATCTGTTTCCATGTATTTTACTCGGCTTAAAAGTGTTTGGGATGAATACATGACTTATCGACCTGCTTGGTCATGTGGCAAATGCTCTTGTGAAGGAAATCAATCTATTGAAGAATTTGTTCAATATGAATATCTCATGAGTTTTCTCATAGGTTTAAATGAGTCTTTCACTTCTACCAGGGCTCAAATTTTGTTGATTGATCCGACTCCTAGCATCAACAAGGCTTTTTCTCTCGTATCTCAGTAGAAACAACAATGTTCCATTCCTATCCTTTCATCACCCGATCTCGGCTGTTGGCCTTGTAGTTGCTCAATCTCGAAGTTTGTCTTCCTCTGCTTCGACTAATCGATCTGGCAAATCTCGTCCTATTTGCACGCATTGTGGTCTTCAAGACCACACGGTTGACCATTGCTACAAGTTACATGGATATCCTCCTGGATATCAGGAGAAATGAGATCAACGACATTCTGGTGTTTCTTTGACACCGCTTGTTACATCTGCCTCTCCTTCAACACTTACTGTTGTTGCCAATGTTGTCTCTTCTCAGGCTCCTTCGACTACTATAAGCACTCCTGATACTTCGGCTCAATGTCGTAATATTCTAGTCATGCTTCAATCTCAGCTTCCTGCCATCAAATCTGATTCACCAGCACTCAATTCCTTTTATTTGGCAGAGGTACTTGTTCTCATGATTCTTTACCACATCCTCTTGTTGGATTATTGATTCTGTAGCCTCCACTCATATATGCTTTTCTTGTGAGTCTTTTATGACCTTGATGCCTAAATCTACTTTTGTGATATTACCTGGTGGTACTCGAATATATGTTTTATTCTATGGCACTGTGAAGATTCTTGACTCTCTTATACTCAAGAATGTATTATTTGTGCCTCAATTTCGATACAATCTGCTCTCCATTATTGCTCTCATCATGGATGCTCCTGTTTTTGTGCAATTTCATACTCACCGCTATGATATTCAGGAAATGTCCACTTTGAGGATGATTGGCAAAGGTAAATTTTGTGATGGCCTTTACCTCTTAGAGTCTTCTGTTGCTTCCTACTCTGCTGCTATTTCTTTTCCAACTATTGTCACTCATGTCACAGTTCGAGATCCTACTACTTTATGGCATGCCAGGCTTGACCATCTCTCTCATCATCATTTACTTGCTTTGAAGTCTTTTCTACATACTGCTGTTTTTCAGTCACCTCATAATGACTCCTGCAAAAAAAGGAGATTGCCTTTTACTTCTCATAGCCACTTATCTGTTGCTGCTTTTGACCTTGTTCACGCATACATTTGGGCATCTTTTGCTACTGTTTCACATACTGGTTATTCCTATTTTCTTTCAATTGTAGACGATTATACTTGTTATACGTGGGTTTATCTACTCCGAAAAAAATCAAATGTTTTGCAAATTGTACCTCAGTTTTTTCACCTTGTTCAAACTTAGTACAATAAATGTATCAAGCTGTTTCAGTATGATAATGCCCTTGAATTACGTTTTGAGTAGTTTTTTAAGGATAAAGGTGTATTGCATCAATTTTCTTGTGTTGCTCGGCCCAAGCAAAATTCTGTTGTTTAGAGAAAGCATCAATATATATTGAATGTTGCACGAGCATTATATTTTCAATCTCAGGTTCCCATTTCATTTTGGAGTGAGTGCATTCTTACTACAGTATTTCTTATTAATCGTACTCCTTCTCGGCTTTTGCATTGGGACACTCCCTTTAGTCGTTTGAATGGGGTTGCTACTGACTATTCTCAACTGAAGGTTTTTGGGTGCTTATGCTTTGCATCAACATTGCCATCTAGTCGTTCTAAATTTGCCCCTCGAGCATTGCCTGTTATTTTTCTTGGCTATCCTCCAACATAAAGGCTTTTCGCCTTTTTGATATTGAAAACCAAAAGATCTCCACCTCTTGGGACATTGTTTTTCACGAACAAGTCGTCCCTTTCCATACTATTATACTTGAGTCTGCTGTCCCAGATTTTTTATATGGTTTCTCTCTTCCCCGTGATTTTGATATTAATTCTGGGGATGTTGGGTCTGATTAATCTAATACAGTTGATTTGATCGTGAACTTAATTCTGGAGGTGTTAGGCATGCGATTGATGCTGCTTCGTATGTTATTCCGGTTGCTCATGAGGGTCAAGTTCCTCTTTCACCTGCTATTATTTCATCTACTAGTCTAGATGTTATTCCAATTGCTGATGTTCCACCTGCTGTTATTCCACCTGTTGATATTCCATCTGCTCGTGTGGATACTATTTCATATACTAATGATCTTGCTCATAGTGTTGATACTGTTATTTCCAATGATGGCGGTGATCTTTCTAGTGTTATTGTTGTTCGACAATCTTTTCAGATTTCTAAGAAGCCTTCACATCTTCAGGCTTACCATTGTAATGTTGTTTCAGTATCGCCTTTGCCTCTATTGACAACAAGATATCATTTATAGGATTATCTCTCTTATTCTAGGTTGTCTCCCTCTTTTAAGACTTTTTCATTGGGTGTTTCTTCTCATATTGAGCCCCAATTCTATTACCAAGCTGTTTCTCATGAACATTGGCAGGAGGCCACGAGGGCTGAACTTTTTGCCGTGGAAGCAAATAATACTTGGAGTGTCTTTTCTCTTCCACCAGACAAACACATCATTGGTTGCAAGTGGGTTTCCAAGATCAAATATAAATGTGACGTCGTGACGGTTCTATCAAACAGTATAAAGTCTGTTTGGTTGCAAAGGGCTTTACTCAACGAGAAGGCTTAGATTTTCTTGAGACATTTTCTCCGATTGCTAAGCTCGTCACCGTTCGTGTTTTACTTACTATTGCTATTTCTAAGCAATGGCCACTTGTTCAGTTGGATGTGAACAATACCTTTTTGAACGGGGATCTTTTTGAAGCTTAACATGGACTTGCCTTTGGGTTACAAGCCTCGAGTTGCTACTCAGGGGGAGCGTTTGATTTGTCGGTTGCATAAGTCTATTTACGGCCTCAAACAAGCCTCCGGACTAGGGATGGCAACAAGGCGGGGAGGGGTCGGGAGAGGTTCGCAAAAATTTAGGGGTGGGGACGGGGCGGGGATTGGGAACCCGTTTCCAACCCAACTTTATTATTATTTGGTTAAAATTTTTTCTAATTTTTATTTTTTTAAAGATTTATTAATATTTTATTGGACTTGAGGCATTCGTCTTCTTTTTAAACAAATTATAAAAAGTAGTATAAAAATTAATATATATTATTATTATTAATTTATTATATATAAAAATAAAAATATTATAAAATATTAAACGGGGCAGGGTCAGGGTTGGGGACGGGGCTGGGGGACCTCCCCCCGTCCCCACCCCATCCTCACTGAGGAACCCGATTGGGATCCCCGGTTTGACCCCGTTCTCGATCAAACCCGGAATCCCCGACCCGATCGGGTCGGGGACCCTCGGGGATCGGGTCCCGCAAGTATTTTTGCCATTCCTACTCCCAGTAGTGGTTTGTGAAATTTTCAGATGCCCTATTGTCTCTCGATTTTCATCAATCTAAGGCTGACTATTCTTTGTTTGTTCGACGATCGGGTCCTACCTTTCTTGCTTTTCTCGTCTATGTTGACGATATTATAGCCATGGGTGCTTGTGCCCGATTAAAGCTTCTTTTTCATGCTCGTTTTCGACTCAAGGACTTGCGTTCTCTCAAGTTTTTCCTCAATCTCGAGTTAGCCCGATCTGCTGTAGGTATCTCAGTTTCTCAGTAGCATTATACTCTGCAATGACTGGAGGATGCTAGTTTGTTAGTTTGTAAACCAGCAATTATACCTATGGACCCAACTTTGAAACTTTGCTTTTCTGATACGGATGTACTTCCTAATGCTACGGTTTATCGAAGATTGATTGGTCGTCTTCTTTATTTGACAATTTCTCGGTCGGATATCACATTTGTAGTGCACAACTGAGTCAATTTGTGTTGTTGCAATGTCATCGCGACGCAGAGTGACCGACGTCATCACCTGAAGGGTCTCTTTCAAGATAAGGGTTTGGAGTTGCCACCAATCATCTACGAGATGTAATTGGTCACCTACTTAAAAAATTGGTCTACGAAAAACAGATTTTTTAGTTCGAGAGTCGACTGAGCGTAGGGAAGGTGTTAGCACCCTACGACATCCGTTGGAAAACGGTACCATATTTTGTCAAAAATTATCCTATTATTTGGTCTGAAGAAAAATATTTTTTTGCTTTATTTAAATGTCTCATATTTTATTACTTCGTATTTACTATAAAATATGAACTAATAATTATGACTGACACGAAAGCCATTAGAAAATTTTATCACCCCACAAATGTTAATACCCAAGTGCATTGCCAATGTGCCAACACCTTAAGATACACCATAAGTTTCTTTTTTAAAATACAAACTTTTTATTTTTGAATTTTGTTTAAAAAACGAAAAAAAAATTTATTTAAAAAGAAAAAAATTATTTAGTAAAAACAATGGTAAAAAATAAAATAAAATAATTTTATTTTAGGGAAGCAAAGACTCGAATTTGGGTCATGCAAATTTATCTGCAAGCATCTTACTACTATGCCAACATCCTAAGCTCCAAACATGATTTCCTTTAAACAAACAAAACGTTTAATCTATTTTTTAAAAAACAAAAAAAAAACTTATGAAATTTTTTAAATTTAAACAAAAAAATACTTTTTATTTATTTTGAAATTAAAGAGATTCTTTACAAGAAATTTTTATTTCAATATTTTCTTTTTTTTAAAACCCATGCAACAG